TAAAAGTGTTTGCCTTGTACAATTTTGATAGCGTAAATATAATTAATAATAATTTCTATAACATAATATAGGTAATATTGGTAATTTTGACAATCAATATAAAAACGCAAACCTATGATAACAGTTTAAATATTTCAATTAGAGGGTATGATAGGTAGGTAGTATAGTGGATAAGATTTTATATTTAACAATCGGTATTGTGTAAAGATAATAAATTATGGAGAGATAGAGCCTTTTTTGATTAGTGCACGATTAATTCTATCTTAAAATTTTTTTTTTACTAAGAATTATCTAAAATGGATATTATCATATACGTATACGAAATTTATATTAAATTTATAACAAAATTCTATAAATAAAGAAGTTGTGAACATTATTCTAATGTAATAGTTATACAACAACAACTGTCCGTTCGTTTTTATTTTAAAATCTTTAAATATTGTATAACCAAGTGATCACGAGTATTAAATTCTAGTCATTTTGAAAAAAAAAAGATCTGATGGACTATAACCTTTAAACCTCCCCTCCATAATGAAGTCACCCAGTGCAATATTATTATATGGTTGGTGAATTATTTTACATACAACGGTTATTATAATTACGTCCAGTTGCAAATGTGGATATTTTTAATATTTTGAAATACTTTGTTCGAATATGACGTGATTGTCATTTGCCGTATTCCTTTCCTACTGCTAAATTGAAGTTTGATGTGGATTATCTAAATTAATTATGTAATATGCTAAAATATGTACGCAATACTATACATTGTGACACAACACAAATATTTACCATAACTATTTTAACTTGGCTGTCGAAAATTGTATACCACACATATCGAAATAAAACTATATTTAGTTTTAAATAATATAATAATCTGAATAGTTATTTATTTTGAAATCAAATGTAAATAACATTTAGTTTTAATTAGATCGGTAAACATATTATTATATTTTCTAAAATATTCGTAACACGTGTTTAATTCAAGTATATTGAGTGTAATTATAATTTGCTTTGATGATAAACTCAAATATTCATCAGCCGATGATTTAACTTGAAATGTTTTCCACTAAAATTCAAGTGAAATGTCTGTAAATATGCGTTTCAAATTGTAATTGGATATGATTTTCATGAATATTTTATCCAATTACAACTAGAAACTCAATATATTTACTGACATTTCAACATTTCACGCTGAATATTACACATCCGTACATATTTTCAGTTACACGTTCCTATATTTTAATAATATTGTGTCATAGCTAATTTAAAAATTTACACTGTAATGTTACGTCTGAAATCGCGTAAAAACGATGATGTTGGTGGAAAATACATTAATTTAATATTATTTGTAAACTCATTACCTACTGATGAAAAATGTATTAAAAGTGTGAAACATGATGGTCACTTTGAAATAATTACGGTATCATAAGATATTCATAATAATATAGTAGGTGTATATCATTGTATTATAATATGCTTAATAGTCATATTATCATATATTAAGATGTCGGGCTTAACAGGATGATATGTCATGGAATTAATATACTATGTTATCGAACGACCTAATTTTCTTTTTCTTTAATTTTTTGTTTAAATATTTCGAGAAATATGTTCATGTAAAAAATCATATGCATCAGAGCAACAAAATACTATAGCAGGGTGAAGAACACTTGTTGAACATCCCTCGTCCACCTCTCACGTTCGATTGGCGCTCACCCAATTAATATTTTGTCAGACAGTGACACAAACTTTCATTTCGACTCGACAACATATTATACTTACAAATGTGTGTGTGAGCACATCTTTTGTGTACGATGCATGCCTAATATTGCAATCGTATGCTATAAATTATTTAAGAAGCTGCAGGAAAAAGCTGAGTTTGATATCATCTATTATAATATATTATTTTCTAATGAACTTCAGATTTACGAGACGAGTAGCTAAGGACTAAAATTCTATGCGTATATTATAAATGAGTTAAGGTATATGAAGGCTTATATTCTAAAATATGTAAATTAATTATTCACACATATTATTATTTATTTAAGTTAATATCAAAATAATTATTGATATACCTTTTTAACACTAAATTTTGTTTTTAATTACGATATATTAAAATACTTTTGTCCTAGACTTATTTATTGTAAATTATTATTTTTATTGTTAGATATTTTGTATTTGATGAATTTAATGGAAAAATGGAAAATAATATAAATTCTTTGGGTAGCCATCGCATGGTTCGATGTCAAACAGCTAAAGAGTAGCACACTACTTAACTACTAACTCGCTGTCAAAATAATAAAGAGGCGTATACCCACTTCAATCGTTCCCGTAATTTTACTGTTACCTATACCAAAAAATAAATAAATAAATATATTTCCAAGAATAACCCTCTCTCTTCTTGTCTCCCCCTTGTGATTGCATTATCTGAGCAAACATAGAAATTAAAATTCCCTGGCGTGGCTGATTTAACTATTTAACTAATCATAATAAAGTATATGAAATTTTTAAAAACTCTCAAACATCTTTTTATATAAATTAAAATATTGTATCCACCTACTTTTATATTATATCACTGACTATATTAAATCACAAAACGTTTTTTAAACATCAGATTGTAGAAAAAAATATTAATAGTTTTTATTTAAGCTTAATTATTCCCGAGATTGTATGATACGCAATGACAATCAGTTGCAGTAATAATTTGTGATGAGTTTCACAATGCTATGAACAACATCCTTAAAACATAATTTAATATTATACACATAGGCATCTTGCATTCTTGCATGGCCATCATTTCTTGGTCTGTGACTTAGACCGGTCTAACTATGCTGCCAAATAAAAAAAATCCCATCAGAGATTCTAAAATATTTTTTTTTCATTTATAATAACTAATAATGAATCACTGGTCGACACCTAAAGCACTGTTTGATAAAAAGGACATTTGGACGAAAAACAAAATTTGATTTTAAGTCAAAGCAAGTATACGTCCACAATCCACACCCGTCCACCATCTAGCTAACTCCTGAGTGGTTCTCATGGGGTAGGAAGTATTTGCGTGATTTAATTTACATAGTGAATCGAAATGAAACAAAATTATTTGTGTAAAAATATTACAAAACTATGCAGTTTTCCAAATAGTGCAAGCCGCATGCCCAACGTTAAGAATAGTTATTCAATTGAAGTAAAAGTAATGAAATTATGGTAATAATAGTAACAATTAACAGTAAAAAAGTTATATACTGCATAAACCAGTACAGTGGGTTTCATATAACTCGATTTAGTGTCGGTATGCAAACCTGCAGATGCATCATATAGGAGAAAAAACACAGCAAAATATATATTTAATGATGTAAAATCAACGCATACATGCAGTACCACACAATACACATAAATAGAGTAAACAATATATTATTATTATTAAATATACCCCGGAAAGGGAACTTGCAGTAAAAAGTTCAGACTGAAAAAAACGAGAGATGAAAAAATGTCAACGAAAAATAAAAACACGTATAATATAATGCTTTTTAAATGTGTTTATTAAAAATATATACTAGGGAAACATCAAGCGAATGCACTTTAAATCATTGAAAAAAACAATTTATATTTACGTATCCATTTTTTTTTCGTTTCCATTTAAATTCGAAGAATGGGAAGTTATGCTAACGCAGTCTCATCCTTCCACTCTCACACACATCCATGTTCATGGGAACTAAACAGGAAAAAAAATTGCTCGAAGAAAAATAACACATTTTTTTATCCACCAACGTTTCATTACAATTTTTTTTGTATTTAATAAAACTTGATAATATCATCATATATTTTATTTGTATTTGTTTTGTCTTAATACACTCCGATAAACATTGATATGAATAGTAGATGAGATATTCCAGAATAAAATATTATAACCCAGATAAATGTGTGTTTGTACATTTAATCGTCAAGCCACATATTATTTGGAATATATCATATTTTATGTGTGCTGAAAAATTTTAGAACAATGTGTATTTTGTTCACTTAACTTAAAAGTAAACAACGGTAGAAATAAAAATCTTTTAAACAAAATACTAGCGTCATAAAATATTTCATAAATGACTAATCAAAAAAAAAAAAAGGCAAAGTTGCAAAATAAAATTTAATACACCTCAAATATTTCAAACATATTTCAATATACACATTATTTAGGTATTACACTATTATGTTCTATGGTGTTTATTTTAAAATGCGATAGAAACTTATTGATAATAATTATCGACAGCTAACACTGGTTTTTTTTAAACTCAAGTCTATAGTTACTAGTTAGGTACATATTTTTATTTTCAACCCAAATGATCTGATATTTGACTACCGCAGTATACCTATTATCTGTAAGACTGTGAATCACGTCCTATCAAATGTTGATTACATTAACAATATTTTTTCAAGGCTGAATATTTGCATGGAGCATGATTTAATTTAAATATTAGATTAAAAAAAAAATCTATTTCAATATCATTAATCTCACAACGTGATTATTGTTATATAGATTTGTGAAAAATACATTTGTGAAAAAATTATAATTGTATCTTGTTTTAATTCTATTAGCATTTGAATTATGATTAAATTTATAAGACACAATATTTTCACTATTGAGTATTATAATTAAAAATAATTGGACTAATTCCCAACAAGTTTTGATGTTATATAGCATTGGTCCAACTTCTTAATATTCTTAACTCAGTATTTCCAAACTTATCTTAACCTAGAATTCCATAAATAATTTGCACTGCCAAAAACCTAACCATTCACTGAAATATTTAATTTATAATATTAAATGAAAATTATAGCAAGGAAACATTTTATAAAGAAGTATACGTATATAAACAAACACAAAAAAGGAATCTAAAATTACGAATTACTCGGTTAAAATATTGTTGTTAATTGTTATTGCAATTGTTTCAACATTGTTTTTTTTTAAATATTTTCGAATTGTGATATGTCATGATGTGTATTTTTTACAGGATGGCCTTCGGAGAAGAATGGACAAGTTGAAAAGTTCGATCGAAGAAGCCAATTTGGCCGTCGACAAAGAGAGAGAGAAGAATGTCAGTCTATTGCACATGATTTTCCCGCCAAACATTGCCAAACGGCTTTGGCTCGGTAAATACAACAGTTTGTTATTTTCTATTTTATTTGTTTATAGTTAGTGAACTCATCATATGCTTGGATCTTAACCTCTTTCAAAAAAAAAAAAGCATAATCACAAACCTTTGTCCATTTTGTTTGTAGTACCCGCTGTATTATGTTTCATATTATAACATATTATGTAAATACTCCTTTGACAGGTTACTGCTGAACATTTACGGACCCGGTGTATTCTTTAGAGATCGGGATGGCAAAAAAAATTACAACAATTTCATAATAATATATTAAACCAGTGGTTTCCAAATTGTATTAGGTGACGGCGCCCTTTTTTGAAATAAGGGGTTTACACAGCACCCCTCCATAAAAAGAAATAAAAATCATAAATATTTATAATAAAAAACATTATGAAAATATCCATTTAATTATAATTATACATAATTCATAAGACATTAGTTAAGATTTAGGTATATATTTATTTGAATATAGTAAATTAATTTGATGGATGATAATATTCTATGGAAGCTCAGTGACCCTGTGAAGATACTGCGGCGCACAATATGGGAACCGCTAGATTAAACAATATAAGATCGATTTCATAGTATAGATGATATTATTATTAAATAGCTATATCTTTACACGAATAAATAAGTTTCAATCAACTGTTTAAAATATTTTGTGCTTACATTGAAGTAGATATATTATATATAGATAAATTATATTTTTCTGGGAAACTATAAGTTAATGCAGTAAGATATCGGATTTCTAAATTGCAGTTCACATTTTAGCATGCATTATTAATATGAAATAAAAATAAATAATAAGATATAGATTAAATTATGAAATAGTAAGTTGTATTACCGATTCAGGTACTCAAAATTATATACCTGTCTAATGTTTGTATCAACAAATTTGTATTTGTGATATTACGTGCATCGAATTTCATTAGTGCATTTCCAAATTATAAATATAAAAGTCAGAAAAACAAACGCTTATTGGATATAACCATGTGAAAATTACCGCTGTTATCATATAACTGTATATACCTAATTATAATTTATCATAATTTAGAGTTGTTCAGCTGTTGTAGGTTTTGTTTACTGTACAGTTCTACATCAAATTATTATTATAAATATTATAATAACTTACGCAACCGCCAATACAATGGTTATTTCATTAAAGTTTTTTTTTATGATTGAGCGTTGATGAATAGGGGGAGAGAAGTCGTGTCATGTGATTTGGGCATTTGGGTAAATATATACTATGCTCCTCATCCTATATCTGCCAAGATSCTGTAAAATATTTGGCAACAAAAATATACCCTAAGACCTACGTGAATTTAACCAGCCGMACATTCTTTGCAATATTATCTTCAAAAACACTAATAATAAGCTACCATTATAACAATAATTATAACAAATCGTAAAAACCTATATACTCCGAATATTGTGTGGGCATGGCTGCTTATGTATAGCCTACAACACAGTACAACTGAATAGTTTGATATATTTTTAAGTGTTTAGTTTTTATTGCCATCTCGGCGTCTAATGTAAAATATTGAAATAGATAATGGGTGGTACGTATACTAACTTAAAACTATAATACAATTTATAAATTGAATTATAACATTTGTTAAGTATTTTTTAATGTGTTTAACGGTAGTGGATTTTATATTTTTTAATTTGAATGGTGGTATAATTATGTACTTATATAATCAGCAAAAAAAAWAAATAAATAAATAATAAAAATTAAACCAATTAATTAATAAATTAAATCAAAAATAAAGATTTAGTCTTAAAGTAGTGTCACTCGATGCYCCCTTCTATCACGCCTTATAATTTTCCTAAAATTTACTTATTATACATTCAGTAAATTTTATCAATTGAATACAGATTGTAAACATATTTGTTTTAAAAAAAACTCAACTGGACATAAAGCTAAATATAATATCGACGAAAGTGGTTTGGCGTGGCGCGTTGGCTGCAACCAATCATGGATTGCGACTGAGAGTAAGTAACAGCCACAGCTACTAGCTCCCAGATGGGTGACCACCTGGGTTCATAGTAGTTAAAAACCTTGCCACACATACACGTGTTTGCTACCTACCGTAACAACCGTAAAAACAAGCTATCGTACCAAAACCTTACCCCTACCACAGTTAATAACCCCAACAGCTAATGGCCTTAGTCACYGGGCTTAAGATCAACGAAAAAATAAAAAATATCCACGAAATTAATGTAATTCCATATAATTTTAAAGGTGACATTTTAAATCCAATAAAAACTCTCTGAATTCAAACTSTTCCGTTTTCGATGGCAACTTTGCRAGTCAGGGAATTAGTTTTATATGTATAAGTTAAATTATATAAAAATAAATTGTATTATCCAAAATGTTTCTAAGGCTAAGGCGTATTCTAAAAATTCAATAAAACTGATGACTTTCGATATAAATTAATATAATATGATCGTCAGACACAAGGAAGTACGTACTTATAAAAATATGCAAAACAATAATGTGTAAAACATTAAAGCAACTATAAATGTAAAATGTATACCTCTGTTATACACATTAAATTGAATAGGTAGCTCGTCATTATATAATATTTTAATTCACATAAATTACACGTTTAGGCATTTGAAACATGACGTGACTTGTATAACCTGCATGTATCGAAACGGAACTAGTCAATATAATTCACATAATATAAGATGTACTTAATAATTATGATTATATACCTCAAGAAACTACATTTTAAACATTCTATGAATTGCTATATTTGAAAATGCAAATCTTAATACTATATTCACATTCATGGATCAGTTGGAATCACTGTATATTCCGATCAAGTGTAGGTACCGAATAAGTWACGTTATGAGTTTATGACATATTATAACTCGAAACATATGAAAATTATTTTTTTATCACAATATATAATTTTAAACCATTTAAAACTAGATTTATTAAATGATAATTTCAGATATTAAATAATTTTCTTATGATTTTTTTTAAGCTAAAACAACTTGTCTACTATCAAACATTACTGTCCCATGAAGTCAGATAATCACAATCTTACGATAATAATTATTTTATTGGTAAATGTCCATAGGTTTTTTTTTTATTAAAATGGAAAAATAACTGTACCTGCTTCATGCTTGTATTCAAAACAAACAATAGGCGTTGTATGAAATGCGTTTTATTAGATACTAGAATAGTATAAGGCATCATGGTCATACTTCTAGTCTGTTCGTATTATTAATRTATAAGCATTTTCTAAAATGCTCAATTCCCATACAATCCTATATAATGCTTGCTTTACTATGCTAATTACAGTGKTTCAAATTATTTTCTTCTTATTTATCCCAGAATATATTCAGTCATTAGAGAAATTTTATATTTACGTTATAAGATGTAAAGTTATTTTTTAAATWAAATGTATTTCTGCAGTAGTTAAAAAGATGATGACACGGCGATATGTATAGGCAAATTAGCTACACTCCGGTGTTGGAAATATTTTTCTGACATTTTGTATAATATGATTAAATTATTCAAATCCAAACCATGGTAAAATTAATATACTACAGTTTAAAAGTACTAGGAAATTATTATATAAATTTTATAATTTTATCATATTATGAACATTTCCCTTAAGTTATAAATATCGAGTCTAACTACCCTATGTTCCCTTTTCAGTCAATTAATTATTGAAATCATTATAATGATGATGCTTATCGCATTGTGTAAATATTGAATTTGTACTTTTGGATATAATAATTATAGTATATAATAATACAATTTTAAAATTGTTATAAAAAAAAAAATTTAATTGGGGAACTTTGATTTGGAAAAAAACAATAGTGAAGTAAATAATGTTACAATCAATTCAATATTAAGTTAAATTCTTTAACGTAMTTATTAACTTTTKACGCGAGTCTTCGTGCACTTATATTAAACCCTGAYATTTCAGAGACTGAACTTTTTGAAATTTATATAATATTCCAATATTTTATGGATATTAAAATAATTTTTAATTTTAAATAATTTTATCTCCACCATGTCGTTCGTAGATTCATAATTTTTTCATATACTTTTGTTAACTATAGAGTGTGAGCTATTACTATTCAACGAATATTATGACAATCATTCGTTATAATCTGGAAAACACCATTGTCATTTCATTTTTATTAGTTTACCGTTCATTTGAAATGTTTCAATAACAGTTACTTAGGTATCTATTTTAGTTAGTTTGTTCAACCTCCGGAGCATCTATTGATATTTTATGTGAGGATTAATTTGAAAATCAATTATCAAGTTTTTAATATTTTTCATGGTAAACTTATTTTTCATATCGAATTAAAATATCTAAACAATATTACAAGGCATTTTTTGTAAGTACTGCAATAATTTTATAATTTATTGTTTTTAGTATTATGTTTATTACGCGTGACAACACAACCACGGATATGAGTCAAGTGTAATTTATGACATTATATATATCAAAATTCGGATTTTATAATAAGATTTACAGGGATAAGAACTACAATTATTTTATTTTT